TATATATATATATACTGTAGGCTAGAATCTGCCATTGTCATGAGCTGTCAGTGTCCACAGCCTGGAGGCTGTTCTTTCTTTATGAAGTGAACTTGTGTGTGTGTTTGCTATTCTAAGGTGTTAAACAAATCACCACAAACTCAGCAATGGAATGTGAGGGCTTTCGGTTCATGTAATCCCCATGTCAGACTGCTCACTGCATGAATTCCAATCAATCCTCAGGTGACAGCAGCATCAGTCGGTGACCATCAGCCGGCCTACCGCCCACGTATGGTAACATTAATTAATCCCAGGTGCGACACAGATCAACAGGACTTCAACAGCCGAGTCTGCCGCATCTTCGAACCTCTTATCTCTGCATTACGGGGCTCGGGTTGCCTCTCGCTGCAGCCGTGGTATGGGCAGCACAGGGGCGTCAATCCGACACACTAAACACTTGTTTCTCACCAAGACGTCCTTACCTGAACCACGTTTTTTTTTCCCAATTGACATGTTTTCCGTTTGGAATTTGAAAATGAAGACACATAACACAGCAAATGATGCAGGGAGAGGACTCCATGCCTTTGAAATATAGCTAATAGGGTCTAATTTTGGAAGCAATAGCATAGCCTCCTCGTGCCATAGCTTTATATGTAGTGTGTATGCCAAAACTGGTATACACACCTGAGCGGGTGCGGGTTTCACCGCGGTCCTCCCCTGCGCGCTTCTCCCCCATTACTTGCATGAACCCCCCTCCCAGCCCCCCAACCCCGCCGTTATACCAGCAGGACATACTTTCGAGTTCCCCCCATGCCTCGGTCACATAAATGTAACACGGGTTTGTGATGCAAAGAGACTGCATGAAAAAAAAACTAGACAGATGTTTGTTCACCATCTTGCTGCGGCATCAGCGGTCTACCTGCTGCGTCTATCAGCTTTGAGGTGGGATAAGAGGTTTCTCAGTCAGCCACGACACTGATTCCCCCCCAAAAAAAAATGTCTGGGAGAAATGCTTTTGGCCGAGCCCCCTGCTCTAGCGCTGACCTGGGTGCTGAAAAGTTGAAAACGCCCACAGTGGAAATATACGCATTATAGCGCACCGCATCCGCGCTCTCAGCAATCCACCGCGCGCTTGAGATTTATCACCCGGGGAGGTCACGCATTGCCTTCTCCGCCTCCTCTTCCCCTTCCTTCACCCCTTCTCTTCCCACTGAACAATGCTGCAAATTACCTGTTATATCTCCCCCCTCAAACCACGCAGGCTAGCGCATCGCCACCGTTCTGGCGCTAAACACACGTCCGACAATTGCGTTTCACGGATAACAAAACCTCTGCTGCTTTCAGCGCACTAAACCTCAACCTGCATGAGACAAACGAGAAGGGGAAAAAACTGTCTCCAGTCTTACCTGAGCCTGTTGTTGGTGCCCCGCAGACAGTATGGAAGGAAATGTCTGCGTGTATCAATAGCTAACGATACCAGCCTCTCCCTCTCTCTCTCTCTCTGTATAGGACTGAGATGCTGCAAAGGCAAAGGCACTGTGCGTCGGATGATTCCTCCTCACTTCTTGTTCAATGAGAGGGGGGGGTAAGCAGTGCAGCTCTCGTCAAAGATGGCGGACACTTCTGACGTCAGCAGCAGTAGGCAGCTTTTAATAGATATCTGTCAGAAGAAGGAGAGAGACTTCATAAACTCCTGTTGTTGTAATGTGGCATCAGCACGTGTCGGTGCTGTACGTTTTCCCGCCACAGCTATAGATTCAATCCCATAAGGATTAGTTATTTTATACATTAATGCAGAGCTGCTGGGTTATCCGGGGTTAATCATGCTTCTTACCTGTCATTTCACACAGGATATTCGTTTGAGCTTTTCCAACCTAATCGGTGGTATTCCATTATGGCACCGGTATAAAAAATACATGGCCACGTGCCAGAATGAAAAAAAACTAGCCTTGCACTGTCACTGTTGTTCTTGAAGTTGGACTCAAGTTGGATTAAATCAAAGCAACATGAATTCGTCAGAGGTGCTTACTAGCATGACTAATCATACTTCACCGGCTGGTGTGGCGATCGAGGATGGATTACTACTCAGGCAAAGTGGGCTTCATGCCCCGGGGCCCCGGTCCCCTCAATGCCCATGTGTGGCAATTGATTTGTGGTATAGTTTGATTAATTGTATAGTTTTGTTTGGGAGTATGACAATATGCACCACTTAAACAATACAAACAGACGTACGTATTAAAGCGTTATAGGTCTTGTTTTGGAGCCTGATTCTGGTCTTGAGTATGTCAAAATCTAGTTTTAAGACAGTTGATACTTTGCTTACACGGTGCGTATTCCTAGATTATTTGTGTTTTAATCAAATTATCACACAACAAACTTGAAGGCATGTTGTATTCCAGTAGAAGAAGACTGTGAACTGGGGGTAAATAGGGTTGCAGGAGGGTCCCAAAGGGGATTAATAATGGAGCGAGTTAGTGGTTTATTGCTTTCTCATGTAGGCACATATGAAAATTAGACAGCCTGCCGTTTTAGACTCGTAGGTGTCCAGCTGTGTTCAGTACTTTGCTGCATCATCACTGTAACATACGGAAAAAGATGTAATTTTCCCCTTTTTTCTCAGTTATGCAGCGAGACAAAGAATATCTAAAGGTCTGTTGTGAAGTGCAGATTCTTCCATGCGTAGATGCTTCACTGCCAAGGTTTTAAATAATAAGGCTGGTGATATTAATTCCTTATTATTAGCAAATCCCAAGACCAAAAGGAATGACGCGTAGATGTTGCACTGTCATGTTCCTTTATCCCCACCAGCATTTCAAGCCACCATCCTGCTGCTGTAAATACTCACTATAGCACCAAAGTGGAGTCATCTGCCACAGGAAATAGTTCCCAACAAATGTGCTGTTCACTCTTGTTGACTTGTTTGCTAAATACTAAAGAAAATGTAATTGATATATCTGTGGCCTCTTTTTTTTTAAAGGTGTCTTGCGTCTTCACTATAGGAGCCAGTGGACTTGGGGCTGAGCAGCACAGACAGGGTAGTGAGGGAGATTTGAGAGATGGACTTGCACACTGTTGTTTCAGGTCGTTTTCATGGGATTCGTGAACAATGACAAACACATAGCATTTCACCAACCTCATCCTTTAAGTTGTTGTTTGGACTTGCAGTGTTGTCTCAATGGGCTTAACAGACACACATATCTATTCCTGCTCACTGTCATTCTGTCACTGCTATTCAGAAGACAAAGTCAGCCCGACCCCACACAGAAGCAATCGGCTGTTTGTCACTCAGCTGAAAATGAAGCTCCAGCGTAAGTTCAGTCAGGAGGACTATACTCTTGCATGCTTAGGCCCGTAGTTGATTTCTCATACATCTGCCATTCAATCGTCACGCATTCTCACTCATTTCATTGCTGTCATTGTTCGGGGCTGTCAATCATGACATCAGCTGTTCTGATCAGCTGGTCTCCTTTATCCAATAGACACAAGGAAGCATTTACATGGTTAGCCTATCATCTTGCTGCTGTCTCTTTTAAATATGATTGTCTCTCTACCGTCAGTACGTTCATGCTGCTGTTATGCACCCCTCCACCTCCCAGTCTTCATCAGATTCATCAGCTTCATCAACTCATCATTCTATCAGCCTCATCAGCCACTACCACCACCAGTGTCTGGACTCCACGGGGGGGGGGGGTTATCTTGCTGCTGCTCAGGCCAGACGCCCCCCATTACAAATCTCCCTGTAGAGTCCAAGAGCCACAGACTCTGTCAAGACTTTATCATCACATCTCATCTGTTAATCACAAACAATTTTTCACCTGTCTTGTCTCTCCTGATTGAAATATTAGTGTCAACCATGTTCTGCGTGGCAGCCATCCTGTGAACACTGGCATTTACACAGAGACATGTTTTTTCTCTCTCACGTCATGTGACCACTGACCACACCACTGGAGGTTTGTGTTTCTGATCAATCACTGAGAGAAACAAGCAGAATGATGTTTCCCCCGCATGTTGAATCGTGTGTGGACTCAGCAGCGTGGGAACGCCCCCCCCCCCCCTTCTCCTCCAGCCGCCGTCTCCACTCGGCACTGTAACAAATGTGTCTTCAATTGCTCTCAAGCGAACCTGTCTCCTAAATTAATCATAATGATAACTCTGCATGAAAAATCCATTTGGAGAGGAGAGCCAGAGGAGAAGAAAAGAGAGGCGGGAGTGTGCGAGTGTGTGTGTGTGTGTGTGTGTTTGTGTGCATGTGTGTGTGTGCGTGTACTGACTCCAGGTATGTATGGAGGGGAGAATGAATCTACAGGTCCTTCATTCAATAATATAACAGGAGTATAACAAACCAAATCATGAATGGGTGGAAGTGGAGGATTGTAGTTCTGTTTGCAGGCAGGCAACAGACACCAGGATCAGGAGTAGTAGAGGCTTTCAAGGCCTCTAAGGGTTCCTGAGGCAGGTCCAGGGGTGTCAACACGGCCAATAATATCACTATTATGTCATTTAAGGAGTAATTGGTCCAAATTAGAGAATGAATATCATATTAGCTCACACGTACAACCCTAGTATGAATGGCAATGTGTATGTAGTTTTGATATGGTTGATGAGGGGAAACAATAGCAATCACAGGAGAAACAAAAATGGTCAGTGTCACTCTCTACAGTAAATACTCTTACCTTTGGAGTAACACTTTGATTAAAGGAATGAAACTAACAATCAAGGGCAGTCTAGGGCAGCGTCTTGTACTTGTTGAAGAGAGCGAAGCGTCTTGCGCTCTGCTTTTGCGTTGAGCGCCACACGTTTTTACAGGAGCGTCCCAAACGCGCTTGACGCCGTTAGAGGTTTTTTCCTCATTGTGGTGACTTTTGCTGGATATCCAGATCTTTATGACTTTAACCCTTAGTTGATCTTTCCAGTCACTTGCTTTCTTTCATTTAAACGGTACTAAGAACTTTTAGGGTACAGTTCATGGTTTGCATTAAGTTAACGTAGCACTCATTTGGAACCTAGCAACAATAGAAAATAAACTGAAAAAATCGCTCTGACTGACAACAAAAAAGGCAGTGTTTTCCACCAGCAGAACGCACTCTGTGTGATCAGGGCCTAACAAGAGTCCAGAGCCATGCTAGCAGCTCTGTGCGGCTCCACTAAAGCACAGTGATGCTTTGAACTGAATGGTAACGTCAGCGTCCTAATCTGGATGGTACTCATTTCCTGACAATCCATCCAATACTTGTTGAGCTATCTGAATCAAAACCACAACTGTTGCTGGAGGAAAGGTCAGGGGATCACCAGAGTCATTTGAGTTCATCAGTTGGGGCACCATGAATGTTTGTACCAAATTCCATGGAAAATCCATCCCTCCATATCAGTCTACACCAAAGTTTTGGACAAACCGATATTACCATAGAGCCATGCCGCTAGCATGGCTAGAGAAATCTGTAAAGCAACCAGATCAGTTATTTTGTTGTTCAACTGTTTTAATAGTTTTATTCAGTGTGCATTTGCCTATTTTTTCCACATAATTGACTCCTGAAGTAGAGGATAATTTATAACAAAGGGGACAGACCTGGTTTGTTTCATTCAGTCACAACTATCGAACTGCTCCATGAGCAACTCTTTTGGTTCTGTATAGCTGTATAGTTAGAGAATCCGAGATGAAACTTGCAGAAGGGTGGAACTCAGAGGAAAAGGTCCCAATTACAAAGCTATCTGCTATTTCAGCACCCCGGACAGCGCCGTGAATTTCTCAATACACAGTATTGTTGATATCTGTCTGTGTGATACTTCAGAATCACGGTCGGGGCCATGCATGATTTCTTTACATTCATGCCAGAATATCTTAATATCTTGTTATAAAATACTAAATGTCTTGCAATGACACCCAAAACAAATTCTCTTTCTACCAGATCAGTGAGAGAATATTACTCCCATTATTCCCATTTTAAATGCTACTCTATTAATACTGTGAGGATTTTAAATTAAAATAATTTTCATGTCGAACAGGGTTATCAGAAGACTGAACCATTGTCAGCTTATAGCAGGAAACGTCCCCCTGGCACTGCTGCTTATCGGTCACATTTTATCCTCCACAGAGCAGCTTCAGATTGAACAATTTGATAAAGTCTAAAAACTGCAGGTTCTTAGTTCTGGATTTAGGAGGATTTAGGAGTGAGTTAGTCACTTAGCATGTGAATATAATATAACGCCTTAAGATGGGGAGATGTTTTTTTTATTCAGAAGAGTTCCGATAAACTGAGAGAATGACACTCATCCCTTCTTTGCTTCTCGTTTTCTTTCCATCCATTAAAGCTTGCTGTTTTTTCGCTTTTCGCTGGGATTAAAGAGAATGACTAACTTTTCAGAAGAGGCCTTTGAAGTGGGAGTACTATTTGCAGGGAGGGTGTGTGTGCATGTGTGTGTGCGTGTGTGAAGTGTCTGGGGAACTCGGCGAAGAGAGAGCTTGGCTTCAGCGGCGCTTCGTCTCCGGGTCAAAGAGCAAAACACAGCAAGTGGAGGAGAAGATTAGCCACAGCATTATCAACCCTGTGGCAGACAAGCTT